GTTTTCATGCTATTGTGATTAGGGTAAGGAAAATTCTGCCTCAATTAATTGTCTGCACGACAAGGCTGCAGAACATTGTTTTTCTAATAAACAAGTGGCAGGAACGGGAGGAAATATTTTTGTGAGCACAACATTGATTTCGGGATTAGGGCGCAGGAAATTCTTCTTTAATTTTTGGCACAAAAAAAACACTCATGCAACGTTGACACATCTCGAAGACTACACAGGATTATTCACATGCAAGATTGTGAAAAGAAGCATGTAAACCTATCTAATCTTTATTGTTAGGGAAATGGCCAACAAATCCCCCAAATAAAATTGATCAATCAAGCCACGACTGTTTATGGGACATTGCCTTGTGCAATTGGCTGCCGCATTTCGAACATTAAAATTCCCTCAATCCACTTTACAGTGATTCTGTGAAACGCTTTGAGACGTATCAACGACGTGATAAGGCGCTGCATCAAACCCAAGGATTGATTCAAAATTAAAAATGGATTTTTTTTAAATCAAGGCATTAAACTTCTCCCTCCATTATAAACGTCCTGCTTAAAATACACATTTGGTTGGCTGACTGACATGATGTTGAACAGTAATAAAAGGGCTGTACTAAAGGTCAGCGCATTTATATGTATACTGTGATTATTAGGACAAATGCTCACAAATAATCCCGTTTGTTCTTACGTGGGCAGAAAAGCAACACAAGAATATTCTGCAAGGAACCGTCCAAGGCTTAGGCACTTGCCCAAAACATGCATGTCTTTCACTTAATAAAGATTAAAACATTCCAATTCTGGCCTTTTCCTGCAAATCTTTGTGCTCACGATATACAGGAGCCAGAGAGACAGACGTGAATGGACACATCACCGCTAGAACTTCAGTAGTCCTATTAAGGTTTGCAACCCAAAAAATTTGCTTTGACGTAAAGTAGGAATTTATTAGGTACATAGTTGGACTGAATACCTCAATCCATCCATCAATAACACAGATTGCACAGCCCAGAAACAGCTAACTCATCCCTGCCAGTGTTTATACTCCATTCCTCCTAATCTCCTCTCCCCTATGCCTCTATTCTCCTCTCCCTCATGTGTGCAACATGTTAATTTAGCTTAAAATCTGAGCTGAGACATTAAGTTAGAAGTGAAATTAGAAGAGCATTGTGAAGACATGGAATCCTGGTCAAGGCAGAATCAATAATAAAAACTTCTGATAACTCAGCACTCAAGAGAAAAAGGGCTCAGCGGTGAGTTCACCAGGAGTGACAAGTTAGGAATAATAATAATTGCATTTGTTATGGCACTTATCAATTTTGTTGTTGTTGTCTCTAGGCAGGATTTGAAAGTGGGGAGGGCAGGGGCAAGGCGGAGGCACTAAGGGAGAGGGTTCCAGAGTTTCGGGGCGCAGTGTCTGAAGGTACGGCCACCGATGGTGGAGCGGAGGGAAACAAGAGACAAACAGGAGGCCGGAGCTGGCCGAGCGGAGGCAGCGGGATATTATATGAAATAATATCAACAACTATTGACGACGGAGGAGCCATTTGTTAAACAGTGTATCTCAGTTAGATATAAATATGCCAAACAGTAGTAACGCAACACACACACACACACACACACATCAGTATCAAATTTTATGATGCGCTCTGGAAGTTCGGCCAAACTCCGGGCTCAAAAATTCTTAGAATTTAGGAAAATCTGAATCTAAGACAGCAACAGCCTTCCACAGAACAGGTCTTTGAAACTCATCACAGCATCTCCAGTCTAGGCTGGCTAGTCACAAGTACACGCGTACTCACAACAAGACGAACAGAAAAAACATTTATGTGGCATCCAATGGTGATAAGGATTCCATTTCGCAAACTTTAAATTCACAGAATAATAATCCTTACATTTGGTACAGCCTTATCACGTCTTTGAGACGTCTCAAAGCACTTCACTGAATATACTGTAAAGTGAATTGACTGTATATTTTCAGGGCTGTAACTCACTTTACAGCATAACCTGTGAAGCGCTTTGAGACGTCTCGGAACACGACAAGCCACTATATCAAATGCAAGGATTATTATTTATTATTGCCCGGACTGATCAGAAGAAGAGGTTAAAGATAAATGATAATAGTGAAGAGATGAATGCTGGTGTTTTGCTAGAAAGAAAAATATATATATATTTCGAAAAGCAGACAAGCATCTGTCCCGCACCTGTGGACCACAGCAGCAAGATGTCTGAGCTGGTTTGGTTGCTCTCAGTCTGCCTTTGTAGCTGCAAACCGTAATCTAGTCAACATTTATCACCTCACGTGGCTGGGAGAGATGATCAAAGGTAATCACTTAACCATAGTCATCTCAGAAACATCTGGAGCACACGTGAGATCGTTCCCATATCCATCACGGACTGTCCTTGACTGAACGGCCAGAGGAGGCACTAAATTAAAGACAAGCAACTTCACCGCTGAACCAAGACAGCAGCCAAATCTCATATGGCTCTCAAATGGAATTCAGTCCAGATTGTCAGAGAGTGAAACTTAAGTCAACTACTTGGTTTAGGAATGGGGATGTGCAGAGAGATTCAACAGGGGAAAAACAACAGTAATAATAATCCTTGCAATTGATACAGAGCCTCATCACGTCTTCGGGTCATCTCAAAGGGCTTCACAGGATACACTGTAAAGTGAATTGACTGTGTATTTTGTGTATATTTTGTAAGTAATAGCAGATTATTCACATATAGAATATTATTACTTCCAGCCTGACACGAAAATGACCTGAAGCAAAGTTGAGCTCTACTCTAGCACACATTACACATGCAAATTACTCTGAAACCAATCACAGCGATTAATAAGTTTAATGTTAGTAATGATAGATCAATCTACTCTTTACTGACATTGAAAAGAAAGTAAGGGCAAGCTATTTGCAGAACATGTTTCAATGTCACAGGTTGGTTTAGTGTCGCACAGTAGCATGTGGGTAGGATACAATAATAATAACAATAATAATAATCCTTGTATTTGATACAGCACCTCATCATATCTTCGAGACAGTCTCAAAGCCTTTCATAGGATGCACTGTAAAGTGATTTGACGGTGTATTTTGTGGAGAAACATTCACGTTCGGTGGTGGTTGAAGGTCATACGGCACACAATCAATATTACTTCCAGGTTATGTAATACTGTACAGAAAATAGAAGTAACCACTTGGGAGACCACACGTGTGATAAAACATACTGTGCGTGATGGCTGAGTAAACACACACCTGTCAGTGTGCTACACCAACCAACCGTTCTCCACTGAAATGTAGAGAGACAAGAAATACTTTGGTTTTGGTTCTTAAAAAAACGCTTCGACTTTCACCTGATCTACAACTTGTTGAATGGCAAATTTGCATATTGTTCTTCACCCCCAAGTTTTAATGGCTAAACCCACCTTAGCAAATAAATAAATGATAACAATAATAATTTGGTCACTCAATCCACGGCTGTTTGTGGGACACTGCTGTGTGCAATTGGCTGCTGCGTTTCACCCACAAAACATACAGTCAATTCACTTTACAGTGTTATCCTGTGAAGCGCTTTGAGACGTCTCGAAGATATAAGGCGCTGTGTCAAATGCAAAGATTATTGTTATTATTATTATTATTATTATAGCATCCACCAAATGAGAGAGACAAGTTTCTATTTTTTTCCCCAAGTTGCTTCGTGTCGAATACTGACTGACCTGCTTCTGGAACATAACTAGGTAAACAGTTGAGACAAGTATTATCCAGGGATCAGCGAGCCTTACAGTTGAACTGTCACTGAAGTTTGTTTCGGTACAGTACCTTAACAGTCCCCAGAGACAGCTGCTAGAGTACAAATGTATCTCGGAAAACACACCCGTAGATGGGCAACACACCGATATATTTAAACCTGATTTTTTTGTCTAAAGATAGCAGCAGGGATTTCCGGTTGATTTATTAAAACGTTTCTACCTTCTAACATTTCTAATTCAACCGCTCTGATTCACTGTACCATAGATTCCTGTAGAGCACTCGCCTCGCAAGCGAGAGGACCTGGGTTTGATTCCCGGGTAGTGTGAAACGTTGGGCAAGTTTCCTTACTCCACACACCTCTATTTACCAGCAGTAAGTAGGAACCCGGTTGTTAGTCAATTGACAGATCACTTTTCCGGGGGTAATAATCAACTTCAAAATAATTAACAATAATAATTTGGTCACTCAATCCACGCCTGTTTGTGGGGACGCTGCTGTGCGCAATTGACTGCTGCGTTTCGCCCACAAATATACAGTCAATTCAATTTGCAGTATATCCTGTGAAGCGCTTTGAGCCGTCTCGTGATAAGGCGCCGTATCAAATGGAAGGAGTATTCTTATTATTATACACAACTAACGAAAAGGGAATGGGGGAGTACGCGGAAATGTCCCTTCAACCAATACTTCTTCGTACGCAAAATCCTTTAGGTTGTGCGAATCGTTCGGGGATTGGTAACGCGTGTTTTTTTTAATCTGCTTTCAAACTAAAATAAAACTTCCTTTAAGATTTCAGAGCTGAACACCTGCTCTCCTTGGCTCAGCTCAGTGCGTGATTTTCAGACCAAACACAATATAATTTAACACACATCATGGCAGGAACCACCCAGTTCCCTCTGAAGGCTAAACCACAGCACGTTTAAAACAAGGGGAAAGCAAACATTGCACTGACCCGGCTCAATACATTCCGTCAAATCGCTTCACCAGGTATAAAGTGTGCACTCACTTAACGTGATGCCTGAGTTTTGAACTGATTGCTCAGGAGAGAACACAAGTGTATTTGCTATTTGAAACACACAAGAAATCCAATGTTACAAGTGTAGAACTCGTGTAGAACTCGGGGCGTTGGTGCTAAACTAGTTCTGTAGCACAAGAAAAAATATGTTGCAACAATATGTTGAACAACAACCTCCAACAACTCTGCCATTCACTCATTTTTCAGACTTTTAAGAAAAGAATTACGTTGAAAGTAACTGAGCTTTACCTGTGTGTCACATTAATCTCTGACGGTCGAGACTATTTTTGGTTCTTCTGTGGAGTTTTTCCCCCCAATGTTTTCTTGCATGCAGAATGGCTGTGAGGAGTTTGTTGAAAATGGTTTTCAACACACTCTCGGCTGACCTACCTTCGAGCTCCTCCCCAACACTGACGTCAAGTTAAGCTGACAGGATATTTATTTCCTTCCCAGCAAGGCCCTTCGACCTGCATTGTGTACCTATTCATATACTTGTGGCCTTTACAGCTTGTAACAATCTGTCTCACCCAATTGAAGGATCACTGATAATCTCCTTTACCCTAACACCCATCACTGGACTGACTGACTGCTTGGTTAGTTTTAGTTACAATAATAATAATAATCCTTTCATTTGACACAGCGCCTTATCGCATCTTCGAGACGTCTCAAAGCGCTTCACAGGATATACTGTAAAGTGAATTGACTGTGTATTTTGTGGGCGAAACGTGCAAATTGCGCACAGCAGCGTCTCCACAAACAGTCATAGGTTGAGTGACCAAATTATTATTTATTTATTTCTTTATTTGTTTGATTGATTGATTGAAGGGATTATTACCCCCGGAAAAACGATCTGCCAATCGACCGACAACCAGGTTCCTATTTACTGCTGCGTAAACAGAGGCGTGTGCAGTAAGGAAACGTGCCCAATGTTTTGGGAATCGAGCCCAGGTCCTCTCACCTGTGAGGCGAGTGCTCTAACCACTGAGCTACAGGACTCCACAATATGAGAACCAGCAAATGAGTAGATTTGCGCAATTCAAAACCATTTTTTAAAAAAAAAAGGCCATGATATTAAGATCTCAAACTAAACATTAGTGTTGGAATAGTTACTGTTTTCCCAGTCAAATGCTGGCTTTGAGGCTATAGATGCTCTGCCAGTCAAAGAAACATTTGTTTAACAAACCGCTGCAGAAAAAGCAGACAGACAGCACACAACCGCACGACAGACTGCACACTTTTTTTGTGGAAAAAAAAGAATTTATTCTCTGCTCAATATTTTTCCTGACCGCATTGCGGGCATCGATTATTGCATTTTAATATAAATGTTTCAGGCATCCTGGCGGCCATCACTGCATAAAGGACTTGTTAATCAAACTATATTTTTACTTGTCTTCAAATCCCTTCATGCCCCGGCACATCCGTATCTCTCCGATCTGCTTTCTCCCAACCCACCACCCGCTGCCTCCGCTCGACTGGCTCCGGTCTCCTGCTTGTCCCCCGTGCCCTCCACTCCACCATCGGCGGTCACGCTTTCAGCCACTTCGTCCCGAAACTCTGGGACTCTCTCGTCTATCCTTCACTCCGCCTCGCCCCTTCCTTCCCCATCTTCAGGTCGCGCCTGAAGACCTTCCTCTTCGACCGTGACTACTATCACCTCCCCCCCACCCGCCCGGCTGGGTGTCGTGCTCCACCACTGTCACGCGCTCTGGGACGCTGTGTAAATGCAAGTTGTTGTTGTTGTTGGGGAGTGTTTAATCCAGCAGAGAGCAGCTGTTCATCAGGAATCTTTCTCTCTGGTTTACTGATGAAGCTGTTGCGCCAGCCAAGGTTGACGCAGGTCATTCAGCAGATAAACTAATTGGTGGGTGGGTGCCTGCTCTGACTTTGTGATGTTCTGATAAGGATCAGTTTCCGGAACATTCCGAAGGTGCTGCCTGTACATTGGAGCTGACGCTCACGGCCATTCCAGAGACAGGCAGAGTTTGAGCTGGTGAAGGCCTGCGGCACAGCAACCAATCAGTCAGCACATCTCACAGCGAGTTTCAGGAAGTTCTGCCCGAAAACATTGGAGGGAAGATCGTTAAACACAAGTTAATTGAAACCTGTAACTAATGCTTAAGTGTAAAGCAGTAAGTGCTTAAAGGTCACTCCCGCCTCATATCTTTCCGTCACCTTTCCCAGTGTAGAAAAACCCATCACAAAGCAAACTAAATTGAATGAGATACCTCTTCACAGGATAAGTACAGTTTCCTGCCCCCAACCTACTGTTATATTTTCACAATGGGCCGGCTATCTGGCTGAAGTAATGTCCGTCCTTTTAACCAAAAAATGTAGGAATGGCTTTGAACTCACACGGTCTAGGCCTGAGAGGTCCAACCCTTTTTTGGCTGTTGAGATTTGCGAAACGTCCACGGGCCCCATAAACAATATTATTTTTGTTTCTCTTCCAGGTCCCGTCCGCCTGTTCGTATGGATGTTAAATATCCCTCGGCGCCATTCGAAAGGAGAAGCTAGTTTGCCCTTGAGAACCAATCCCCCGAGTACAATTGATCACTCGTCTCATGGCTGTTTGTGGGACGTTGCTGTGCGCAAATTGTGCTGCCATATCAAATGCAAGGATTATTATTATTACTATTATTATTATGAAGATGATTATTCCGTGGGAGAGAGAACTGAGCAACACAAGTGGGCTAACATTCTTAGCAGTTGGCACGGTTTCAAATCACAAAGCAATACAACAGCTGCCCAGTGAGAGATGTATTGACACTTGAACAAACGTAACTTCCAGCCTCTGCACACACAAAAGTGGCATATTTGTTACGAGCTGCCTCATAACATCCAGTAAATAGCCCGAGCTTTTATAGAGATCTCCCCTCCATAGACACAAATGCCAAATGACCACTCTTCAACAGACTGCTCACCCTGAAGTCTGCTACCCGTCATGCCGTAAACCCTCCATATTCCCCCATGACATTTGCCAAAACAATCTGAAGACTTTTTGAGAGGTTTCACAAATAGCGAGGCCTATAGCGACTGTTTAGACTGCTTATTGGGCACAAGCCCCAAAGCGTAAAGTGCTGCAGCTTGGATATTAAAGTGCATCAATTTGGCTACTGCAATACATAAGCAATAATAATAATCCTTGCATTTGATATAGCGTCTTATCATGTCATCGAGACGTCTCAAAGCGCTTCACAGAATATACTGTAAAGTGAATTGACTGGGTATTTTGTGGCCTAAACATGGCAGCCAATTGCAGACAGCAGCGTCCCATAAACAGTCGTGGATTGAGTGACCAAGTTTTTTATTTTTTTTTAATTTGATTTATTTTGAAGGGTTCATTACCCCGGAAAGCGATCCGCCAATCGACTATTTACTGCTGGGTAAACAGACATGTGTGGACACATAAATAGATTTCAACACAGTCTTTCGAGACAGACAAACACCCGATATTTATGATAAGAGCAAGTGGAACCAAGTGCAATATTGGAAAAGAAGGCAAGACATCAGTTAAGAGAATGATAAAGCAGTGATGTAATATCTGGGTTTGAAATAACATGTCATGCAATTTACTGACACTCGCCTCTAATCTAATGTCCTGTAACTTGTTTGTTTGAGTTAAACCTGGTGATCTGTAGGAGTGTCCAGTTTTGAAAATCACCCTCACTGTGCGAACTGTGTGGCAATATCTGTTTGGGGTGACGTTTCTGTAACAAACGTACATACAACGCAATGGAACATATTGTTTTCAGAGTTAAGAGCAAAGCACGACCTGCACTAAACAAAAATCCACGTTAAGCAGGATTGTGGAATCCAATCTACACAAGTGCAATCAGCCTCATTCTGTTCATTCAGCAATATGATAAAACACGCTGGTACACACAGTACATATCAATTGTTAGGATATTTGTACACTTTACACTGTGATATTTACTGACGTGAACAGAATCATTCCCCTTAGCAAAAAGTAAGCTCAGGAACAGGAGGCTTCTTGAATTTTCCTTGAATTATCTTCAGTATAATAATATAATAATCCTTGCATTTGATTTTGCACCTTATTACGTCTTCGAGACATCTCAAAGCGCTGTTTGTGGGACACTGCTGCGTGCAATTGGCTGCCTGATTTTCGCCCACATATAATACAGTCAATTCACTTTACAGTCTATCCTGTGAAGCACTTTTGAGACGTCCAGAAGACGTGATAGAATGTTATATCAAATGCAATTATTATTATTTTATTGCACATGTTAGTATTCTACCTAAGAAATAAGACAAGGAATTACCCAGCGTAATAATTTAAACTGATTGCTGCTGTGAACAATAACTGATGCAATTATGCTTTATACAGTGATGCCGGTTTAAAAAAACACCAAGAAATCATGCGAGGTAGATGTTAAACGAACAAGAGCCTGAAAAGTGAATTTCATTCCACAAAACAATGAGTAGAGAGGATAGTATATGCAGTATATCATTAACTACTGACTATTAACAATGATAGTACTTTTGGTATAATTAGATTTTTAATAAATGAATCATATTTCTTTCGTGCTAAATACTTCACAGTGGCAGCTTACATTTTTTTTGTTATTGTGTAACGCAGCACTTCAGTGTTGATTTTAGCCACTGGTCTTAAATTATTTTCCCAAAGCTAAACCTGGAGTGTGTGTGTGAGTGTATTAATCACAAACCACGACTGAGATCACTAACGGAACACCTACTGAAAACTTATCGGCACTTTGGGGGCTTTGTAGACTTTACACCGATGTATCAGCTCTCTATATATTATATATTACATCATTTTGATTATCGATCACATAAATGTACTTTTCTATGAAAAAAGGTTTTCTGCCCAAGAAGCAACCCACAGCCACACAACCTACCCCACAACACCACCAAACCATTCACAAAATCTATCCCATATTATCAACAACAATAACTTGCATTTACACAGCGCCCCTGATTTCCCTCACTATTCAATATCCTTTTGAAAATAAGGTGCCCAATTCCTCACGCACACAATTTCCTCATCGGTGATACAATCTTAGAATAATACAGCTGAAAGCCAGAAGATGCCATCGAGGATTTGATAAGCATTTTTGGTACCGGTTTCTTGAGAAAGTTTCAGTGAATATAATCATGTCAAGATTATTGTCCTTCTACATTTTTCCGTACACATATATTTTATTTCACACACATGCTTACGGTTTCCAGTTCAAATGATCATTATCTCACATTTAGCAGAACGATAATCCCCCCAAAATTCACCTTAATTTCACTCAGTGATAATAATAATAATAATCCTTGCATTTGATACAGCGCCTTATCATGTCTTCGAGACGTCTCAAAGCGCTTCACAAAATATAATGTAATAGTGAATTGACTGTATATTTTGTGGGCGGAACGCAGCAGCCAATTGCACACA